TAATACCTTTTGGCAGTTGCCAGCTACACTGGTAGCTGACTGCTGTCACAGATTAATGGACTGCACACAGTTTCAATTGTGGAATGCAGTGACTTAAAATCTTTGGACTGCACTTAAAAAGATCTACTGAGCTCTCTAACACAGCTCCTCCAGCTTCAACTGATCACCCATCCTGTGCAACAATAAAACAAAAAAGAGGGATATGTAGGGAGTCTTTTAAGCTGGAGATTGATCACATGTGTGGGGCTAAAGCAAGCAAACCCAGAAAAAATAGAGACCAAAATAAACTAGGTAACCAAGTTGTTCTAGCACCAAGAAGACAAGGGGCCCAGGTGTGCCAGGCAAACAAGTTGCTAGGCAGTGGGTTTGAAATTGATATTCTTCTTTGGAGGGTATAAATAAACATGCTGCATTGGTTGAGCAGTTCCTTTCCTCTCATCAGGAGGGTAAGGGCTCCATCTGACCCCAGCTTTGTCTTTTCTTTATTTTTCTCATCCTCTGGTGGTCTTTAAACCCAAGAACCTCAGAAGCCACATGGGTCTGCATTTTGCTCATGACCAGGATTTACCTGAGACTGAAATAAGGGTGGCAGGCTAACTAATCTTGCCAAAGAAATTTCAAGGCAATCAAATGTTGAGGTGATGGCATGGCTAGTGTTGGGGGTTTTTAGCTAGATTTATGTTGAGAACCAGAACAAAAAGCTGACAGGATGATTCAAAATATTCTGAGTCTGGCCATAAAGGAACCTCCAACAAAGCTGTGGATCACAAAGACAGAGCAAAAGAGAAAGTGGTTACTGAAAAGCAAGAAAAGTCAAGTATTTCAGAAGAAGACAACAGAAAAGTTTCCATCATTTTCCTGAGCTGCTATATTTTTTAAATTTGTATCTGCTCTAGAGTCACTCAGCATTACTGTCACCATTGCCATAGTTATCTGAGAAATTATTTCTGATTTGATTTTTCTTGAGTCTCATTCATCTGCTTTGCTGTTATCACTTCAGAGAGTCCAGGTGGGTGCCTTTTGGATTGTCCCACCTCATCGCACACTGGATTTGCCTCTGGTGAACTGGAAGTCTGGGCTTGCACTTTAAGTGTCTTCTCATTTTCATGTTTTGTTTTAGTTTAATTCCTGGGTTGATGCTTATAAATTGCCTATGGTGAGTAGTTTTATTGTTAGGACTTAGAACCCTGAGAGAATGAATGACTGCGTCTCAGAGGTATCTTCGAGGTGTAGCTAGCTTTTGGATTTTGAATCTGCTGCAAGATCCTACCTCTTCAGTATATTGGGGATGAGAAGTTACTGCCTACTTGGCCCAGCTCCTGGTTGTTTGACACTAGTCCACAGTATTTTCTGTGATCTTTAGGCCATCTCAGTCTTGGTATAGCAGGAAGAACAGCTGGTTAGAAAAACTATGTTACTTTGGCTAAAATGGCATAATCATCAATAGCAACAGCATTAAATGCAGCCTAGAAAATGACAAACTGAGGTAACTATTCATTTGCTACCTTTAACCACATGAACGAGATTTGTGGTTCTGTAACAAAATTCAGACACACCAGAAAATTATATGCAGTATGTCAGTCCTCAATATGCCAATTTTTTCCTCAGGGAGAAAATCTGAAACGATTTGGGGGAAAAATAGAGAACCAGAAGAAGAGGAAGAGATTAGAAACAAAGGAGGATCATGCAACCTTTGAGAAACTGGTGAAGATGACAGAAAGAAAAAAGAGAAGGAAGAAATAAAAGGGAGAACAAAACTACCACAAAAAAATAAACTAGAAACCATGTTCACATACATTAGAAAAACAAGATCAAACAATCAAGAAAAAAAAGCGAGAGAAAACAAAAAAGAAGAAAATAAGAAAAAAATGTCAACTTCAAGGCATGTCTCTGCTTTACTGGTAGATAACATGGGCAAATAGAGCCTAGATTTGAGTTGACTCATCCCAGCAAGCTAGCAATAGCTTTATGGCAGAATAATGGATAATCCCAGCAAGCCTGTACCCTTACATTAGTTCCACTGAAGTTCAGGCTGGTTTCTGGCTGTGCGGTTGGAACCAGATTTGCTCAGCCTACAACAGTCAGTATGTACCCTGCTGGCTTGCACTTAGATCCCTGACCTGTTTCTAGGAGTCCTTAGATGGAGTCCAGCTGCAGCTGTTCCAAGCTCTGAGTTCAGTTGGCCCTGCTTCAATATGGTTACTGGCCAATGGCCCTCTCCTGGGGGACATATGAACCCAAATAATTCTCCAGCCACTGCCATTCACTGCATCCATTGCTCCATTCCCCTAGGTTGTTCCTGTGGAGGCCCCTGGGGTTACCAGTAGTCACTGTGTGTCTGCAGGTTCAAGCCATCCCTCCCACTCAATGAGTGCAGGCTCAGGGAGAAAGCACCTTCTCTTTCTTTGTTGAAATCTTTGCTCTCTCTGTGGGCTTCAATTATTGCCTCAGATCCTTCTTGGTCCCTGGGAAGCCCTGTCCCTCCTCCTTCTCTTTCTCATGTTGCTATATTCCAGTGTATGGACACCAAATTGTGGAGAGGCTCTTTCTCTGCTGCTCATTACTCCAACATCCCACATTTTTTTTTTTTTGAGCCCAAGTCTCACTATGCACCCTAGGTTGTTTTCAAACTTGGAATCCTGCCTCATCCTCCTGAGTTGTGAAATTACATGCCTTCTTGCTCCAACACTCCTCTCCTTTCCTTAGGTTCCACAACTTTAGAGGCTCTACTTCATTTTTTCTGGTACCTTCCATTCCCTGCCTCATGGGTCAACTCTCCTTTCATATCTGTGACAAATCAACCCTATTGTCCTCCTCAGTTATCATTCCTTTATCAATCTTAAAAACTTCTAGGACCAGCCACTCAGGACCCCTCCTGCTTCTCAGGATCTATTCCTATTCCCCAATAAATTTTTCTAGTCTAAAAGGAATCTTTAAATGAGTAGTCGATTCACTTGCTGTTTCTCCTGGTTTATGTTCTCCCTGGCTCCTTTAATCTTTTAGAGTTACTAGATTATCAAGAGTATTTTTGAAAGCAAATCCAGTAACATTTTTTACTGTAGTCAAAGTCAACCACTTTCTCCTCATCCAAATTGGTTCTTCGGTTACTCTTTATAACATGATTTCAGGCTATTTTTCTCTGAACCATTCCTCTCTTCTCTTTTATTCCACTTCATCTTATACCATCAATTAGTAGCTACTAAGACTTTATAGTATAGCCATTTTGAAAAACAGTATGGAAGTGCTTTAAAAAACTAAAAACAAAATTACCATATGATCTGACAACCTCACATACAGTCACATTCAGTCAAAGGAACTAATATCAGTGTTTAAAAACAGTCTTCCAATATTTATTTCAGCACTATTCATAACAGACAAGACATCACTGATAGACAAAGAAAATGTGTTGTATGTATAAATACACACAGTGGAATATTATATATTCTTTAAAAAGAAGGAATTCCTATCATTTGTGACAACATGGATCAATGTACAAGTCATTATAGTAGGTTGAATAAATCAGGCACAGAAAGACAAATACTATGTGACTCATTTAAAAAGGGACTCAAAAAACTTGAACTCATACACAGAGTAGAATGGTGGTTACCAGAATTTATGAGAGGGAGGAAAGGGGAGATGTTAATCAAAGGGTACAAAGTTTCAGTTAAATAAAAGAAAGAAGTTTTAGTGATCCATTGTACAGTATGGTGAACATGGTTAAAAATGTTTCCAAAAAATGATATGTTTCATATTTCAAAACTGCTAAGAGACCTTAAATGATCTCATCTCAAAAAAGTAGGTGAAGATGATTAGTTTGACTTACTCTTTCTACAATGTATACAAATATCAAAATATTATATTGTGTCCCATAGTTACATACAATAGCTATCAGTTTGAAAATCAGTCTTCCAACTTCTCATCTTCTTCACAAAATATCTAATCACTTTAACAATTTCAACTAAGAGGTCCCTTCATATCTTACAAAAAGAACAGACTAGTATGATTTCCTAATTTTAAGAAGATATAACAGCCACATGTGGTGTTGCACACCTGTAATCCCAGCACTCAGGAGGCTGAGGAAGGGTGGCTGTGAATTCAAGGCCTGGCTAGGCTAAGTATAGTGAGGTCTAGGCCAACCTGGATTACAAAGTGAGATCCTGTCTCAAAAACCAAAAATAAATGGTATAATAAACCATCCTCAAATTTAACTCTAAACTTTTGCTGGAGAGATGTCAATTTTGGTTACAATGACACCATCAGGGAAGGATCCAAGATACGGATCCTATACCACAATGAGAAAAGTTTAAGAATAAGAATACAAAATTATACACATAAAATAAGTCAGAAGACCATGCAAGGGACCCAAGATCCAAGCATCAAAAGGGCTTGAACTTAAACTTCATTAATTTCACATTAAATACACTTCTGGCTTCATGCATAAACTCTTACCTATTAAACTCTGACTTGGTGATACCGCTAAAAACAATCATACACAAATGTTAATCTGTTGGGTAGTGGTGCATGCATGTAATCCTAGCACTCAATAGGCTGAGGCAGGAGGATTACAGTGAGTTTGAGGCCAGCCTGGGCTACATAAGGAAGTTCAAGGCCAGCCTTCACTATGCAGTGAGATTGTTTTTAAAAAGAAACAATAAAAGATTAATTTTAGGGTCAGATGATTCCTGTAGTCTCAGGAGCCGGGAGACTGAGGTAGCAGGATTACTGTGAGTTTGAAGCCAACCTTGGTTACATAGTAAGTTCAAGGTTAGCCTGAACTATATAGTGAGACTCTTTCAAACAAACAAACAAACTATATATATATACACACACACACACACACACACACACATATATATATTAAACTTCTAGCCAGGATCTGAGCACAAGTATAATTGCATGAAAAGGCTCACCAGGAATTTTGCAGAATAGTATCAGTTATTCCAAGGGAAACAGATCATTCCTGTCCTCTGGAAAGTGAACAATAGAAAAGCCGTAAATACCTGAAAGTCACATGATACTGATAAACTGCTTCATTATGACACTGTATTTTGATGAGATTCAGTCCCAAAGATTGAGGCGTTCCTCTTGATCCTTGCTTCACAAAATGCTCTCTGGAAAATAACAAAACACAAAAGCATCAGCTGAGTATAATGCTGTGTGCCTGTAGTCCCAGCTACACAGGAAGATTTCTTGAGCCAACCTGGAGAAAATCAAAAAGAAAAAGCACCCACATACCATATATCCAAAAGCAAAAACCAACCAATTGACCTACACCACACCAACAATAAAAAGATTGAGGAAAGTAATATTTTTTACACTTTGCATAAACCAAGAACCAAGATATATACAACCAAGGTTTGATAAAAATGAGATAAATCCTTGGCAATATCTAATTAAACAGGTAATGCCCCTCAATCTGCCCTAGCAATAGCACTGGAATAAACAAGACCAGCTAACTAAGAACAAAGAATTAATTATTTCTATTTGTTTTGGTTTTTTGAGACAAGGTTTCCTATGTAGTTCAGGATGGCCTTGAATTCACTATGTAACCCAGGTTGGCCTCTGTCCTCCTGTCTCAGTCTCCTGAGTGCTGAAATTATGGGTGTGGGTCACCATGACTAGCTATAGAATTGGTTTTATAGAAAAAGAAGAAATGGCATATTACTCCTAAATGGCTACAATATGACAAAGAACTGCCTGCCTGAAATGGGAGAGAAATGACAAGCTATGAGTTTACTCTCTGCTAAGTACTACTGGATATATTCACTCTTAAACCCTCTGTACTTCACCAGAAATGTCCCACCTCTCCAACAATTTCTCCACTGGCAAAAACAAAAAACAAAAACAAACAAACCCACTCTGCATCCTCCCTGTTTCACAAGGAGGACTTGGGTCACTGCAGTCAGTGTTCACAGCACTATACATTAGGTCAATCACAGAGATCTAGAGGCTCTTCCTGCCCCTCCGACATCCCTCCAAAGAGCAGGCGGCGCTCCTGACTTACTTCTCCTTATGTTCCACAGTTGGGCCAGCAGGGAGATCTGGAGAGTGTGGCGAGGACCTGGGCAGAGGCAGTGGTGGTGACAGCTTCTGGGGGTTCCAGGCAGTCAGGCCAGGTGCCTGAAGGGGCTTGTTTACTCCTCTGCCTATACCACCAGCCATTCTTCCCAGAGGTAATGAAGCAACATCTGAACTCCCTCTTCCAAGAACTCTGAAATGGAACAAAGGGAGGCAAGTCAGAACTTTCATAGTCATGCTTTTTATACAAGCTTCATCTTCCCACAAGTCTGCATTTTCCTCAGTCTTGCTTTGTTTTGTGAGAAAGGGTCTCACTATGTAGTTCAGCCTGGCCTTGAACTTGCTGTGTGTCCCAGGTAGCCCTGAACTTGCAACAACTCTCCTGCCTCAGTCTCTAGAATGCCAGGCTTATTGGCATGCATACTTCCATTCTCTTTCTGAAGAAGTCAGTTAAAGATAGTCAGCATAACTTTGGGATTCTTTCAGATTCACCTCTCATTCACAATGGCTATTGATAATAATTTTTAGAGCCTCTTCCACAGCAGAGTTGGGGGGAATGTGACTCATCCAGGTTAAAGAGCCTCTTCAATCAAGGAAGCTTATTAAAAGGGCAAATAAATTTGTTAATATCCCAGTGGAGTACTCATTGCCTGAGTCAGTGGCAGTTGACTACTCCTGGAAAATGTCCTTGGAAACTCTTGATTGCTTGTATGGTAACATGCCCTTCCTAGAACCTCTCTTTCCACCTGGGATTGATGGTTGCATGGGACGGGGACTTGACTCACCTGTTCCAACCCACAGAGGCCTCTGCCACCTTGCTATCCCCAGCTGCCAACACCAGAGCATCAGGAAAAGTGGGGCGGGGTTCTTCTTTGTCCTTGCGTACCATGTTAGCTGACAAGCCTCGACCTAAAATACCTCTACCTGAAAGAACCAAACCTCAGCTATAACTATGAGTCAAACATGTTTCTAAGTACAATTACTTTTCTAAAGATAAACAAAATAGATTTTAAAAACCTATATATATCACCACAGTCCTCAAGTTTATTTTCCACATACCTAAAGAAAGCACTTCTCGTTTTGGAAGATTCGGGGACATCATCTCAAGGCCCATGCCTCGGAACATGGATACCAAACCCATACACTCCTGGAAAGGCAATGAATAAAGTTATTCTAAAATGTAGTTTAAAATCCCAAATATGCTAAATATTAAAAAAAGAAACAATAAATCTGCTAGAAGATATAGTAGGTAAAACTCTTGAAGACATTGGTGTAGGCAAAGATTTTATGAACAAAAACCCCGATAACACAGGAACTGTCAGAAAGAATCAACACTGGGATCTCATCTTACTAAAAAGCTTTGCACAGCAAGAGAAATCACCAACAAAGTGAAGATACAACCCACAACATGGGAGAAAATGTTTCCCAGCTGTTCCTCAAACAAAGGATTATTATCAAAAACATAGAAAGAACTAAAAAAATCAGTCCTCCCAAATTTTAAAAACCCAATTCAAAAATAGGCAGCTGAGATGAATACATGCTTCTCAGATGAAGAAATACAAACAGCAAATAAATATGTGAAAAAAATGTTCAACATCACTAATCATTCAAAACATACAAATTAAAACAACATTGAAATTTCACCTCACCCTAGACAGAATGGCTACTATCAAGAAATCAAGTAATAACAAATGCTAGAGGGGATGTGGGCAAAAAGGAACCCTTCTCCACTGTTGGTGGAAGTGCAGACTGGTGCAACCACTGTGGAAAACAGTGTGGAAATTCCTAAAAAAACTAGAACTGGAGATCCTATTTGACCCAGCTATTTCCTTTTGAGAATCTTCCTGAAGAATTAAAAACAAGCAATATATGGGGTCCCATGTTCATAGCAACACAATAGCTAGATCTTGGAAACAACCTAAATGTCCATCAACTCAGGAATGGATAAAAAAGATGTGGCACCTTTATATAATGGAGTACTACTCAGTCATAATAAAGGACAAACTTGAGACTTTTATAGGTAAATGGATGCAATTTGAGACCATACTCATGTTTACACATCAGTTTACACAAGTTTACATGAGTACACATGTAAACTCATGTTTACACACATGTGTAAACATCGTATTGTCTCTCTAGTGTGAGAAACTGAAAGAAACTGTGTGTGTGTGTGTGTGTGTGTGTGCACGCGTGCGTGTATGTGTGTGTTTATACTACTGATTTCTCTGAGGTCACTGAAGAGAAAGGTTTGCACTGGTACTGTTCAGACAACTGAATACAGATAATCTTGTACCTGGATGACAGATTTGGGGATAGCAATGTGCAATGTATATACCATTGCTGTCCCCTGATTGTTGTGTTTTGAAATTTTGTGGTGTTTTTTCTCTTTGAAAAAAAATGGATTTGAACAAAAAAAAACCCAGATCTAAAGAAATCCTCATCATTTTTGTTTCTAAAAAACTTCTTGCCTCAATCTCCTTGAGTCCCACAGTTTATCTGGCATATGTATTCCCATTGTAATGTTCTGCTACTCTCAAATAAATACTATTTTTTGGAAAAAATAAAATAAAACCCAAATCACAATGGCTGTTTTGACACCCTGGTAAACATAAAAATCAGTCTTCAGGAATGGACATGGTGGCACCCACCTGTAATCAATTCCTGCTCTTGGAAAGCTCAGGCCAGAGGACTACTGTAAGTTCAAGGCCACCCTGGGCTACATGAGTTCAAGGCTGGCCTCAATTGCATAGTAAAACACTGCCTCCTCAAAAAAAAATCAGTTTTCAAAATCTATAAATGTTAAAAAAGAATACAAATATTTTATAAAAATCTGTTTCAGGAGACTCCCAGGGAAGATGGTGGAATGGTAAGCAGCAAATAAAGAGCCCCTCCAAGATTTGGTGTCCACACACTGCAATTTAGCAACTCAAGGATGATAAGAAGGAAGGAAGTGGGTCCCCAAGACCCAAGAAGTATCTGAAGCAAGAACTAATGCCCAAAGGAAAGCAAAAAGAGAAAATTCAATGAGAAGGAGGCATGTGACACCATCTCCCTGAGTCTGAACTCACTGCATGGGAAGAGCAGTTCAAACCTACAGACACATGGCAAGTAGTGGCAACGCCAGAGGCCTCCATGGAGAGACACAGCAGAGCAACAGAGTAGTGGACGCCATGGACTGCACTAGCTGGCAAGTGGAGTTGATTCAATAGTCCCAAGGGAGAGGATGATTGGCCAGAAGCCATCTTGGGAGACAAGCCAAATGAGAATGGAACTCAGAACAAACTGCTGGCTCCATCTAGCAGCTCCCAGCTGACTTCAAGCCCTCAGAAGGTGTGCTGATTGCTGCAGGCTGAACAGGGCTGGTTCCACCCTCATAGCCAGAAACCAGCCTGATCTCCAGGGGAATTAAAGGCTCATTGAGACTCTCCACTACCCTGCTATATAGCTATTGTTGGTTTCCTGGGATAAATCAACACAAATCTGGACTCTGTCTCTGCACACTGTCTACCATTGATAGCAGAGATAAACCTTGAAGTTGACATTTTTTTCTCTTTTTTTGTTTTTTGCTGTTTTGGGGATTCAATTTTTTTTTCCTTTTCATTGTATGATTTTGTTTTCATGAGTGTGAATATGGTTTCTAACTTCATTTTTTTGTATAGTGTTCTTGTGTTCTGTTTCTTTTTTGTTTTTTCCTTTTCTCTTTCCCTCATGTCTTCTGAATAGAGTTTCTTGAAGTCTGTGTGATCCTCCTTTGTCCTCCAGCCTTGCTTCTAATTTGTTCCTTTTCTTCTGGTTCTCTTTTTTCCCTCAAAATCCTTTCAGATTTTCTCCCTGAGAAAATTAGCATATTGGAGACTTACTGCATACAATTTTCTGGTGTGTCTGAATTTTGTTACAGAACCACAAATCTTGTTCATGTGGTTAAAGGTAGCAAATGAATAGTTACCTCAGTTTGTCATTTTCTAGGCTGCATTTAATGCTGTTGCTATTGATGATTATGCCATTTTAGCCAAAGTAACATAGTTTTTCTAACCAGCTGTTCTTCCTGCTATACTAAGACTGAGATGGCCTAAAGGTCACAGAAAATACTGTGGGCCAGTGTCAAAGAACCACGAGCTGGGCCAAGTAGGCAGCAACTTCTCATTCCCAATATACTGAAGAGGTAGGATCTTGCAGCAGATTCAAAATCCAAAAGCTAGCTACACCTCGAAGATACCTCTGAGACGCAGTCATTCATTCTCTCAGGGTTCTAAGTCCTAACAATAAAACTACTCACCATAGGCAATTTATAAGCATCAACCCAGGAATTAAACTAAAACAAAACATGAAAATGAGAAGACACTTAAACAAAGTGCAAGCCCAGACTTCCAGTTCACCAGAGGCAAATCCAGTGTGCAATGAGGTGGGACAATCCAAAAGGCCCCACCTGAACTCTCTGAAGTGATAACAGCAAAGCAGATGAATGAGACTCAAGAAAAATCAAATCAGAAATAATTTCTCAGATAACTATGGCAATGGTGACTGTAATGCTGAGTGACTCTAGAGCAGATACAAATTTAAAAAATAGAAGAACTCAGGAAAATGATGGATACCATGGACTGTACCATGAATTCCCACCATAGAAAATAAATGAAAACAGATTCAAGCAGATATCCAGGAGCAGAAATTCCTGCAGAATAAACCAATGTGAGGACAGAATTTTAGACAGCGAATACAGGCTTGTGGTTAGTGAAGAGGAAAAGGAAGATTTTAAAAATAAAGGACCACAAGAAATGAATACAGCAGCTGGAATTGAAATTGTCCCATGCATATTATCAAATGATAGTATATGAAACTGGAACTCAATGGCAAAAGAAATCATAAGAACTTCATAAACACATGGAAATTAAATAACACCCTCCTGAACAACCAGTAGGTCACAGTGAAATTAAAGAAGAAATTAGACAGTTTCTACAACCAAACAATAATGTTCTACCATATCAGAACTTATGTGATACAATGAAAGCAATCCCATGAGGGAAATTTACAGCAGTGAATATCCATATCAGGAAAACAAGACATCACAAATAAACAACAGTGTTGAACCTTAAGCTTCTAGAAAAAGACTTGGTGAAGCCTGAAGCTTGTATGAGGGAGGACATTATAAAGATCAGAGCTGATGGGGGCTGGGGATTTAGCTCAGCGGCATAAGCGCCTGCCTTGCAAGCAGGCAGTCAGTTGTGAGTTCGATCCCTGGTACCAATAAAAAAAAAAAAAAAAAAAAAAAGATCAGAGCTGAAATGAATGCAATGGAGACTAAGAAAACAATACAAAGAATCAATCAATTGAAGAGTTGATTCTTTGAAAGATTAAATAAAATTAACAAAGTTTTGATAAACTAATCAAAAAAGGAAAGAAAAGACTCAAATCCACACAATTAGAAATGAAAAGGGTAAAATAAAATCCCAAAGGATCCTGTAGAAATCCAAAAAATTATCTATACCTACTTTGAGAACTTGTATTCTACTAAGCTGGAAAACGCAGAAGAAATGGACAGATTTCTAGATACATATGAATTTCCAAAGCTGAATCAAGATGATATAAAAATCTTAAATCAGTATCAGCCCACAAAACTGAAGATGTAATTAAAAATCTACCAACAAAGACAAGCCCAGGTTCTGACAGATTCACTGCTGAATTCTGTTGTTTTTTTCCTTTTTGTCGATTTTTTGTTGTTGTTGCTGTTACTGTTGTTATTGTTTTGAGACAGGTTATTGCTATGCACTGGTCTTGAACTCAGTGATCCTGTCTCAGCCTCCCAAGTGCTGGATTACAGGTTTGGGCCACCATGCCGGGCTTCACTGCTGAATTCTTCAAGAAATTTTATTTATTTATTTATTTATTTATTTATTTATTTATTTTTGAATCAGGGATTGAATTCATGAGCTTGTACTTGCCAGGCAGGCCTTTGTGGCATTGTGGTCCTTCATTCATTCATTCATTTATTCTCGTGCGTTTTTGAGGTAGGGTTTCACTATGTAGTTGAGGCTCACCTTGACTTATTTTGTAGCCTACGATGGCCTCAAACTCACAACGATCCTCCTACCTCAGCCTCCTAAGTACTGGAATTACAGGTGTGTGCTACCATGCCCAGCCTCTATAAAAACT